GCCCGGATCTAACTGAATTGATAGAAAAACTACAGATATAACAGTTTCAGCCATGCTGATTGCATACAGTATAAACCTCTTACTCAATGCTTACTCTGTCATCATTATGGAATTTGGAAAGCAGAATTGTTTTGAGAGTCTGCGAATCTCTTAAATTAGGATATTCTAGTAGTAGCACATGTAGTTTAGGTTTAAAAGTGTGATTTTCAAACACTAAATAAGCTTTTACTGTTAAATTCCCCTCTCTGTCTTGCATCCAATGCTGTGTTTTGATTTATGAAACTCTTTTCAAGTAGCGCGGCCTTCAGAAGAGAATTCGGAACAGGTCCTATCTTCTCCTCTGGCCCTTATCTCAGTGAAGTGTCCTTCACTAGCCCTATAAAGACCTGAGACACACTCTGTTACTTTGCTGTCACTGCCGAAGACAGACAATATGCTGCCCGCTGTTGTAAAGCTCTGCTGTGGAATCTCCTACCCACATCTGAGGAGTATGGCAGGTAAACACTCCTAATAATGTCAGGAAAGATGTTTCTTCTTTATTCTTTTCATGCAAATGCTGCATTCTAGATAAGAGTACTGAGGTTTTGTTTTCCTTTTGCATCTCTTAAATGTTCAATCATGCAGGACTTCAACGCACAGCTGTGGCAGTGATAGGCCAGGAGATCACACAGCTGCAGAGATGGGGACAGGTCCAACATCACATGAGAACACATCCTGGATTAAAGTACAGTGGTAAGATACATAAATGTGTTGGCTTCATAACATTTTTTACAGTGTGGTTGTTGAAAGATTACTTAGAAGAATCTTTTGCAGAGCTCAAACCTGAAGATATAAAGCCTGTGCCTTTGAAAGAAGATCAGCTGTTCTATGTACAACAAGGCCAAGAAGCAATGAGAAAGGCTCTCAGTATGCTAGAAGACAAACAAGGATGGAAGGTCGAGATCACAGAGGTAACTTGTGAGTCATTTAGGTGCCATCCTGACTTAACGTGTTTCTTCTCCAATTTCCACGCTCTGAAATAAGCTGGACCTAAGTAACCACTGTGTTTTTGTTATTATATACATCCGCTTGTTTGTTGCTCCTTTTCAGAGCAACGGGGATGTGATCTGTAGCAAAGTGATGTCAGGGGACCGGAAAGTCTTCAGACTGGAGGCAGTACTAGAGGCCAGTGTGGACGAACTCTATGACCTCCTGTTTGTCAGAGTGGAGGAGATGCACCAGTGGAACCCGAGCATACAGCATATCAATGTAAGCTGCTGACATTTGTAATATGTTTTCTATTCTATATGTACACTTCTTGACTTTTGTAGTCTTTTTTCCCCCATATTTTTTCTTTTCTCTTACTATGTTTACTGTTATGCACCAAATTACTAATAGAAACTTCTTGTGTGTGAATACCTACTTGGCAATCTATCAATAAATCTGATTCTGATTCAACAACTCCCAAGAGCCTGCTGTTGATCATAAATTGCATAAACTGTGAAACCTTTAGCATACACAGTACTGTATACAAATACTAAATAAGCAGGCTCAGTTTAGAGGAGATCTGTATTTCTTTTTAATATTAAAAACTATATTGAACTCTTTTATCTTACTTTATATGGTCTAGTTTTCTGCACATTTCTGTTTATACTCATAATTCATGTCATGCTATTTATTTGCAGCAAGAAATGTATACTGCTAGACCTCTCATTGCATATATTGCAGTTCAATTCTATAGTCAATGCAGTGTTTTGCAAACAATATTTAATATATAAAATATTTAATATTTCTGTCTGTTTTAGGTTCTGAAGCATGTTGGACCTGATACGATTGTCACTCACGAGATTTCAGCCGAGACAGCAGGAAATCTGATTGGCCAAAGAGATTTCCTGAGTGTCAGACACAGTTGCAGACAAAAGTCCAGAGTTTATCTTGGAGGAGCAGCGATTCAGCTGGAATCCTTCCCACCTCAGGCAGGCTTTGTGAGGTAGGATCATGTGCAGAGCAGGTGCAACTCTGTTTAGGCACTAGGCATTAATCATCATGTGATATACAAATAAATATATAAATATATATACATAGATACATTCAACAGGTTCATTAAACTTTCTCTCATAAAACATAACGTCCAAGTAGCAAGATGTCAGAACAAAATGGAAAAAATCTTTGACTCCACAGTAAAAAATTGTATTTTTATTTGCTTTGACATTTTAATTTGGTCTGTGGTAACGTGCCCAGCACCGGCTAATATCAGTGGGCTTAAATGTCTGCAGTCATATCTCCTGTGTGTTAGATTTAATATTTGGCTGAGTAACTGTTACACATTTCTGCAGTGTTTCCAATAAACAAAACTAAAAGTCTACAGCCGCGCCGGCAGCTCTGTAAAGCGCTTAATAAGGAAAGGTTAACGGTCATGGTCATTAGAATTCATCCCGAGGAGGGCACGAATGTCTGTAACAAATTTATTTTCTTTTAATATTTTACCTTATTTTATTTTAATTTAATTAACTCACTTTGATTGAATTAATTTAATTAAATTGAGTTAAATATAATTTATTGGACTTAATTTAATAAAATGTATTTGAGTAAACATCATTAAATTCAATTGATTTATTTTATTTCAATATTTGATTTAATGTAATTTAATTCATTTAATGTAATTACATTTAGTTAATATAATCTAATTCAGTTGAGTGATTTTAATTACATTTCATTTATATAATTTCATTGTATTGTTTTAATTAAATTAAATCTAATTCATTTATTTGATTAAATTGCATTTTATATAATTTACGTCAATCTAATTAATTGAATGTAATCCAGTTAACTTCATTTATTTTAATTCAAGGAATTTGATGATTTATTTGTTGATTACATTTTCTATTTAATTTATCAATCTGAAATTGCAAAGTAACTAGTGACTAAAGTTACCAAATAAATGTCGTCAGGTAAAAATGACAATAATTGCCTCTAAACTGTAGTGGTCAAAAATGTAGCCTTAGTTCAGGCAGGGATGTATGGGCAGGGAGGTGGAACAGAGCCACACCGCCAAACATAACTACTGCAAGCAAATCAAGTCTTACTTTCCACCACTGCCCTAGAATCATGCTGCTAGTAACAATGTTTATGACATAAGGGCCTAATTAACTTGAATGAATTTCAATACATTGATAAACGCAATAAAGATGAGAGCAGTTCTAGTTTGTAAATAAAAATATACATAACGGAACCATTCCTAATAAACCTTGGCTGACTGCTAATGAGTTTGTTTGCATGTTTACAGAGCAGAGGATGGACCAACTTGCATTATCATACAGGCTATGGAAGAGGATACCAGAAAAAGCCACTTCACATGGCTTCTTAATATGGACGTAAAGGTAAATTTATATGTAATGTATTTTCCATTTTGTGAATGATAATTGGAAAAGCATTTGCAGACTCCAATGTGTGTGATATTCATTTATTACATTTCTTGTGTAATAAATTAATATTGTACAGATGGGAGTGAGCAGATGCTTTTTCTATTAGTTCTAAGCTCCAGCTCTTCCGCCAGGCTTATATCTGCTGAGCAGTGAGCTTCTTAGATTGGCCACACACCATCCAGCTATTTCAGTAAATCAATATACTAAAATGATGTACAGGTTTCAGTCTGAGGACAAGCTTTGTGGCATTATCACATAGAAATGTGAGAAAATATTTGTATTTCAGGTGAGGATATGCTCTTTAAGATGCTCTCATATATTCTCCCAGGTGAGGAATGGGTGGTGATGGTTTGCAGTAAATAAACTGCCGGGTTGGTGGAGCTAGATGTAGCTAGTGTTTAGTGGATTCACATGACTGACAGGAGATGCTTCATTTGACAAGAAACTGCATAGACATTATGATATAAATACAGTATACTCATACTGATGTATTATTGCTAAGTGGAGTACAGCTTTTATTATTTTTCTGCTATTTTTTCCCACCACTACTAATACTTTAAATCAGGCACTTAAAATCAGGATTTCTCTTTGATTTTAACCATTGTTTTTTCGAATCTGTCTCTTTTGAGTCCCACAATTCTATGGAATCTTTGTCTATCTATTTGTTCTATCTTTGTTGTAGAACTGCATTACTTTGATTTTAAAAATGTGGATTATGAAACCAGAGATGGTAAAACAATACTGAATGAATTAAATGCATATTTTAAAAAGGGAACTGTATTTGCACATGAACAGTGCATTATTTAATGTACAGCAGCAGGCTAGGCAGCTGAAAAAACAATTCAGGGGTTTAACAAATATAATGTTGTTCTCAGGGCTGGCTGCCAAAGTCCGTTGTCAATCAGGCTTTGCCCCGAGCACAGCTGGATTTCACCAGACACCTCCGTAGACGTCTCACAGCGAGTGCCACCCTGGACTGACTGTGTGACACCCACACCGCCAGCAGCACCCTGTCATCACTCACAGGAAAAGATAGAGAGATGGAGGCATGGTGACAGCCTGGCTGATCGACAGAACACTGCCCTTTTAGCGAGAGCAGAAACATTGCATGGAGGACATGCTCACTGTCAGAGACCAGTGTCAGCAGCCAAATGCCAGCCTGGAAGAAAGAAGCTGGTTAGTAATAGGAATTAATGTCATGGTGTGCCACTCAGACCTCATTAAGATTTCCTGATTAGGATTTCCTGATTAGGACTCATCATCACTCATGTGACTTATCGTCTGTTGACGCATTGACATCCCTGCATATGACTGGACAAAATTAATAAAGTGCTTGAATGTGTCTATTTTGCTTCCATTTTCACAATGTAAAAATATTTTGAACAGCCATCAATAGTAACATGACATTCCAGGTGCCTCTTCTCAACTCAAATACAGTAAATCTACATGCCGCAATTCAGGCAGAATAAAGCTTTTACAAATGTTTTTTCACATAGTCGTACCACTAAAAGGAAGCCAAGTAAGAAACATCTCAAAAGCTAAATATAACAACAGTACATGTATGCTAAATAGAGCATGTGAAATAACAAGAATTTCAGTTCTTTCAAACATGTTTTACTTTGTTCTCCATACCACTTAAAAATTCAATAAATATTAACATTTAAAGCTTTCATTCACGTACTTATATACAAGAACTATACAATAAACATAATGACGTTATGAACTGCAATGCAGGAATGGTGTAACAGTATGACCAACCACAGGCTGCAGACTTACAGCATCGCCGGTATTTTCCAATTACAACATACTTTCTGTAATCCTGGTTGTCAATTTCTTTTCATTGCTTGAAATTTACACTATATACATATTATCTAAAAACATATCAGTTACAAAAAATAACATAATGAGTTTTTTCATTTATCTTTTTGTTTTGAAAGCGTAAGTGACTGACATCCAAAACAGACACTGGGCATGCTAAAGTGGAGTGGGCTTACAAACAGTTATGATTTTTTATTTATTTATTTATTTATTTTTACCAGTGATGATAATCACCAGTAGTTGGATTTGGGAACAAACAACAACAAAAAAAGAGCACCGGGGACAGAGAAGCTATGAAGCTCCCTGCCGGGAGTGATGACCATGGAGTCTGGAGTGTGCCACTGAAATGATTATAGACTTAACAGGTGTTTTATTATAATCAGTTAGATACATTTTAAAAGCCATAATGAATTGATTGATTACATCTGCATTTAAATAATCTGAAATGAAACAATCTAAGTACAAATTATCAATAAAATACCAATTTGGACATTTTGGGAAATATGCTATTATTGATAAGATTATTTTTGTTTATGCACATGTTTTTCTTTCACACTTGCTTTGGCAATTTATATGTCTGTTTCCCATGTCAAAATAGCCCCACGGAATTTGATTTAATTTAACTGAATTGATACCAATCTCGTGTCTGTACAGCAAACGTAAAGCCCCGAGCTAGGAAGTGATTAGCCTAGCTTAGCATAAAGACTGGAAACAAGGGGATGTTCCAAAGTGAAGAAATACATCTATCAACACCTCTAAAAACTGTGAACAAAAAACCTAAAAATGTTGGTTTTAGGGGCAGTAGCTATTTCTTGGTGATGACGACCAAACCAAAATAGATTGCATATAGATTAAAAATATTTTTGCAATTATATTTTAAAATTCTATTAATTCTTAAAACAGAATAAGAAATTCAAATTATACATCTGCAAATTGACTTTGCTTTATTCAGTGCATCATTAAAATGTAATAAATATTTTTTAACTTAGCAATATATTAATTGATTATAAGTGACCACTGGCAGGGTCTATAATTTTTCTGGTGGCACACTCTAGTCTCCATAGTTGACACGTGCACCTCCAAAACCATGGCCTTTGACCTCTCCTCACATGTTCACAAAACAAGTTCAATAGTAGTTCTAATGCACTTGAAAAAACAGGCTTACACAAGTGTACACAGATAAAAACATGAATGTAGCAATGCAGTCATCACATTTTGAACACGTCTTGTAGTTTTAGTTTACAGCACCTGACAACTTTTTTTTCCCGTTTCATATTTGAAGCACAGAGGGCAGAGCGCCGCTGCACACGGATCACTCCGGAGTTTTGATGAGGTAACCATCACTGGTCTGGTCTAAGTTCACTGGCATGGAAAAACAAAAATCTTTGTAAAAAAGAAATAAAATATCTGCAGCGAGACTGCGAGTCTATTGGATGCTTCAAAGGGTGAGCTGATGTATGAGACTCACTGCCCAGCACGTTCACAACATCGCTCACTGTTCATTTCTGAGCTGACAGGGTTCTGTGACTCGAGTCCCTCTCGGATCCTAAATTGTCCCTTCTTGACCTGGCAGCAACTGGGCCTAAAGTGCTGTTTGGACTGTGCTCTTTAGAGGCACCTCCACTGGAGGCTGCTGTGGGCCGTGTCGGCCCTGGAGGTAGAAGAGGCCCCGTGTGTAAGTCTCCCTTTGCAGCTGTGAGGAAGGAGTCGCTGGTGGGACCCTGGGTCAGAGCAGCACCCGTCGATGGAGAGGCTTCAGCAGCGGTAGCCGTGGTTGGCACCGGGGCAGTGGAGCGAAGCCGTCTGCCAATGGCTTTAGTGGTTTGCGGCGGGCTCTGGGTTGTAGCGGATGCGGGAGCCTTGGGTGATGCAGGGTGAGAAGGAGTGGAGGTCTCAGTTTCCAATGAGGACACTGGTGTGTTTTGGAAGTCAGGACTATGTGTGTCAAGGTTGTCTTTCTTGTTGCAAGACTCACAACAAAGCTTATTATATCCAGGAATGGAACAGTAACGTGCAAGAACCTCCATTTGACAGAAAATAGATTTATCCCCCAGACATGGCTCATCTAGTAATAACAGGTGAGAGGACATCATTAAAAGCAACATTTTAGAAAGAAAAAAAACACTTCTTCTGTAGATGTTTATCTTTAGATTACAGTGATTGATTTCTGAAACAAATTACAAATTGACTTACTTGAAGAGATTTTGTGGACAGGGTTTTCAGGAGCCCTTTGGTGTACAGCTTCGTCTTTTATTGAGGAGTTATCCATTGTTTCAATGTCAAGAGATGACACTGGCTGTCCTGGAGGAGAGGACAAAATTAGGCTGAAAACTCCTAAATAAGACTTTAAACGGCAGCTATGAGACCCAAGAAAAAATAAATACACTTTATCTTCTACTATAAGAAAACAGAGCAGTGTTGTTAGAAACCTGTATAAAAGCGTTGTTATTTTTCAGAATGCAGTGCACAACCTGGACTTCTTCTTCGTGTGTTTGACAAAAAACACTTTTCACTCAGCAGGGAAACAGAAAAAAAGAGGTGGTGGCTCCAACCTCTTTGAAGTGAAAGCGATGGCAAACTGCAGGAGGGAATCAGTGCAGAAATGTTTTGACAATATTTTTTTAGTTCAGACAGTTTCCTTTAGGTATTCACGGACGGTTATTTGTAAGGTAAATTTATTAGTCATTTTACAACAGGCTTGCATAATGAACTAATTAATAAATATAATTAAGGACTAAGTGTAGTTAGACCACCTAGTGTAATCATCAAACAAACAGAATAATGTATTCAATCACATGATGTTTATGTAAATGGCATCCCAGGGTGATGAAAAAGGTTTTGGCCTACAATTTGCGCCAATTTGACGTAACTGCTGTGAGTAAGTTGACTGTTTCACTGTGAACTAAATTTGCAATTCTAAATTTTGATACTGGCTTTGAGAAAAACATCATGTACTATGTGAAGTATCTGTAATTAGGCTTGCTTAAATCATACTCCCAGAGGGTTATGCCTAAATGTGCATGATGCAGCAGACATTAACCACCTACAAGTTCTTCAAAAGAAACATGAAATCTATCGCATCCGTTATGAAAATGAAATGACCTGACCATACAGAGGCAGTGTAGGTAAGACAGGCAGCAGAACTGATACATTTGAGAATATTATTGCTTAATTACATGCATGTGAATCTCACCTGGACAAGAACTGAGTTTGCAAATGAGGACTGTTTCTGGCTTCTCGTCCTCACATTCGCCAATGGTGTTGTCGCTGGCCTTGCAAACCACCTGTCTTTGCTGAATCCCCTCGCCACAGGTCACCGAACACTGCCACAGCACCAACACACACACACACACACACACACACACACACACACACACACACATGAAGACACATGTTAAAGCTATAGGATGCATGCATCCAAACTGTTGAGCATTAAGATATTCACACCTATTCAAATGAAGTGATAGCATCCTTCTATATTTTAAGCTCATTGTTTTCAGATCTATTTATCTATTTATTTTAAATCAAAAAGAGAGACTGATTTAAATTGATATACACTTTGACTTTATGTATCCAAATCAACACATTCTCACTTCCAACTTGTCACATGTGGACGCTTGGTAAAGACCCCTTGGCATCGGTTTTTAATGCCCCGCGTACCCAATTTGCGTCATTTTTGGCAATTTTAGCAATAATAAATATGCAAAGTCCAGTTAGACTTTCAAAATAAACCTATTGGTCAACATTTTGAAAGGTTGCAATTTTGTTAGGTCTCGGCACCAGAAGTACTTTATCAGGGTTAGGAAAAAATCATGGTTTGGGTTACTTACATTACTTAAGTAACGCAAGTTAAGTAACTTAAACAATCAAAAAACAATCAATGGTGACTTTTTTTTCTAGCTCAGAAAATTGACCAGTAAGAGAAATTCCACTGATTATGCTAAAAATGGGAAATGGTAAGACTCCAATGAAGATATGTTGCAAAAAAATAAAAGTAGTCTTGGTTAGGGAGAGAAGAGACATATTAAATTTCAGTGCCAATCCTATGTACAGTGAAAATGTAAATATGGCTGTAATAACATGAATATGTAAAGATATCTGTGTCTTTCAAAGTTAGTAGTATTCATGTAGTTAAGAGTGAAAGGAAAGTATCTGAATAACTCTAGGCAAATTTGAGCAACGATATTTGGTCAATAATTTGTGAAATGTAATTTAAAGTGCATCATTATCAAACAGAATTTAAATCAGTGTCAGGTCAGATATGTCAACCATACCTCTTTTACTCCTCAATCTGAATGAGTCAGATATTGGAAAACAGTTACCCAGGAGTTAGCAGGTGTAAATATTTTGTAACAACTAATGGCTACGTAAGAATTGGTATGTGTGGTGCAACCTGCTTTGATTCAGTCAGGCTTAAATCTCCCCTCAGTAGACATATATGTTACAACTAAGTTTGAACTCCTCACTCACCTGAGACCATGCCCCTGTCCTCCACTGGGCGGGGCATATTGTGTGGTTACAGGCTCTCCTGGTCTCTGGGCGATCCTCAGTGCAGTGTTTGCTGTGGACAGGCCTGTTGGTGCCGTTGTGGAGCGCCTGCATGCACTGCACCACCCTGGTGTGGTAGCCGAGCTTCCCGCAGGTTTTACTGCAGGGACTCCACTCTTCCACCACCCACCTGTCAGCACAGCAGGCTTTTTGTTTTTATATAACCGCAATTACAATTTTTTTCTCCGCTAGTCAAGAATGGCACTTATATTCCCTCTAAATTAGCATACATCTTATCAGGGTGGACATATTATTATTATATCACTTTTGATGCCACACTAGCTATTGAAATATTAAAGCATTTTCTATCATTAGAGATCACTCACGTGGGCTGGCTGCACTCTTGGACATTGCAGCGTTTCCGGATGGGTTTGGGCTTTTTGCTGGTTTCACAAAAGTTACGATGAACCAAACGGCTGTCACTCTTCCTTCTGCATCCATATTTTGTGTACTGTATGCCTAAAGGATACAATTATAATTTGCTCTTTTAATAATAGATAATTATTTTGATTTACAACAACTAAAAACAGAGAAAAGAACCACATTTTCAGACAGGAAAAACTGGTAGCAAATGTTTGTCAATGGACACTTGGCCTAAATTATTTTAATGACTATCAAGACTGTCAACAAATTTGATTCAACTCATTTTTTATTGACCAATCATCTCAAGCAGTCAATCAGTGACATTTTCACTGTAGACCACCAACAAAAAGATGAAAGAACTTCACAAAAACCAGATGAGATTCATCTTTACTGTTGCATGAACACACACCAAGTTAAGACTTGCAGTACTGACCTCCCCCACAATGTTTGGAGCACTGAGACCAGCTTTTCAGTGCCCACTCATAAGTGTCAAGTTCAGCCAGAAGAACATTGTTGTTGGTAATAAGCGGTAACAGGTCCTCATGTATGATATACTTATATGTCAAGCTGATCTTCGCGTCTTCTTCCTGGGGAATTACCTGCAATGAGGTGAAGAACGTTTTTTAGAGAATCAATGAAAAAAGCATCGTAAAAAGTGATGACCCAGCCCCACTCACCAGCACTACAATGCCTTCATGCAGAGGACCAGATGTTTTCAGGGTCTCCTTCTCACCATCGATGGAATACTCCCATTGTAGACCATTTTCGATGAAGGTCTTTGATTCAGCGTCTTCACTTTTTGCATTGAGTATGAAGTTTCCAGTAACTTGATTCTTCACAGCTGTCAGTAATGAGGAAAAACAGATGTTTATGCTCATGTGGTGGGAAAGAATTTGTGCACATCGTGTTGTTTCTAATTTCATTCATTAAAAATCTCAAAAATTGAAACAGAAATTCAGATCAACCCTCCTCTGCCGTGTCAGTGTCTATTTTCAGATTTCTCCAAGTTGTGGGTCATCTCTTCTTCCCATGAGGTAATAAAAGCCAGAGAGGAAAAGAGAGGAGAAAAGAGGAGAGGGTTTGGCTGAATGCCACAGTGAGCCTGACTTACCAATGGCAGTTGCACAGAGAGCTACAGTAAGCTCAAACACTCCTTCTTACACCTGAAGACATTCTAGAGCTCCGGTCTTATTATAATTTCTGACACACTGCTTTTGCTCTGCATTTACAGATAAAGCCTTGGACACTGCATCTTGGTCTAACTACTCAGCTACTCTACATTCAGCTCAAATTGAAAGCAATTAGCAGAATAGCACCTGGGATGTGACTCATCAGCTGTGTGAATTGCATTTGAAATAAAGTAGACTTTAGCTTAGAAACAGCACACCATGTTCGATGAGTTGTCCTTTAGCTTCAGCAACACGGAACGAGAAGTGTCAAGTTCAGACGGTTGACTGACTTTTGCAGACTTTTCCTCAATAGAAACTCTTTCTTACACTGATCTGGATAGACGGTTGATTTTGATAACATTTCTGTGTAAAACAGAAAAGGCTGTGTAACATCTCACACACCAGGGTGCATCCCTCCCGGGTATGTGTACTGTATGTTAATTATGCGTAGCCGTGATATGGCCTTATATCCTGGCATTCTGGTTATTCTCTTAAAGAAATGCTCGATTGGAAATCTATCTTTTGAATATCAAATATGCTCTTTTAGCTTGAAAGCTGGCTCTGAAAAGTTTGTAGTTACAGTGCAGAGTCTGTACATTAAAAAGCATCTTGTGTGGTTTTCCTGTATTCACCCTGTGGTAGTCTGTACAGAAGCCAAAGTCGATGTGAGTTTGTTGACATTTTTTGTGATTTTACATTATTATTTATGTAAGGGCTCTGTATAATTGCATTTACTAATTTACTCATTTTCATGTTCGGCTGCATGTTCACCGCTTTCAGCATGTATTTCTGTCTCTGGAACTGTATGGTCCGAATCTACGATTGAAAGCGACTACTACCCCCATGTTCCTGTTCAGCACCCGATGCTAGAATTATTAGTCCTATTATTATTATCATTATTATTGCTAGAATTATTATTAAGTAGTAGAAGAGGTGTAAGTGTGTGTTTGTGTGTTTGTGTTTGTGTTTGTGTGTGTGTGTGTGTGTGTGTGTGTGTGTGTGTGCGCGCATATGACACAAGCTCCACTCTATCATTGTCACATTCCCTGTCAGCCAACCTGCCAGGCAATCAGAGCTCAAACTGTCATGCATAGCCTGAGCCTTCTCCAGCCCAGGTTGATCATCCATTTATTTTTCCATGCGTTTTGGTTGAACTGACCCTTTCATGTCATTCTTTATTGAGTAAAGAAGTTGAACTTGCTGATGCCATTGACTGGTACAGACTACAATGCACCAGTAAATTATATTACACAGCTAGCCTTACAAGGTAAAATAACCCCTGCAACTTCAGTCATGTGACATGGTCACACACACCCACACACACATAAACACACACACAGACAGACAATTATACTCTCAAACCAACTGTGTAATTTAGCACCAGTAATGTCATGTATTTCCACTGTTGGAAAAAAAATGTAAGACATACTGACCAATTATATGAGGGGAGGTCTCGTTCTCTTCGATAACTATGTGGCGGGCTCCTATTGGGATGTCGAACATTTTCAGCATTCCTAATAAGACAAAGAAACAGTACAGTACAGCTGGGAGCATAGCGGACACATATTCTGGGCTGGAATAGCAGCCAATTATTTCTGAATCGAGACAGAAAGTTCTGTTCTTTTGATCAAAGTGAGGGATAAGGAGCAGTGGCCAAACAGAGAAGATTGGGAGGATGTGTTTAAAGCCTCCGGATGAATGATTTTGAGGTTAAATGATGACAGCATGTCATATAATGGACCATCTGAAGCAAAGTTTCTTAGCAATGACTTGTCCAGTTAGTTGATAATTACCGTTCTTTTTGGGTGTTTTGGTGAGTGTCAGCTTCACAGTGCGACAGTGGGAGTTGTCCCCTTCACACACTCCACATTTGTCCTCTTGTTTGTAAGAGCCGACCTCCTTGTCGCAGCCTACATGCTGTGAGGGGAAAGAGCAAACACAGTAAATCAAACTAGGGCAATGCAGCATTTGACTTTTATACAGACTCAGATTATCCCACTGGGAAAATGATGCCATGAGAAAACATTGCACACATCTGTTTTGGAGCCCGATGATGACGACAATGATGGTGATACATATTGGAAACAGACCCAGACATAACAGGGATGTACCCAAAACAATGAGCAGCTGGCCTGCAACAAGAAAAGTCTCAACTTTATGTCCAAGGTGAAAATTTAGACAAAATAATGTCTGTGTGTGTTTGTGCTAGAGAAGAGGGTAGAAGTGTGCAGTTTTCCCTTCACAATTATTTATAGTATAGTCATCAAATATTTGCAAAACTCCTTCTAAGGGCACTATTTTCATCATCAAAATACACTCTATTAAAGGTCAAGGCAAGGGGAAATTGCATTTCCAAACTCAGCTCCTTGTCAAGTGATAATTATTATTATATATTACTACTGGCCTCACAAGGATGCTGATCTCTGGCATAAAACTTGAAAATGACTTAAAAAGGCAACACCAAGTGTTTAACAAAACATAAAAATAGTGCACTTTAGTATCAAATTTATTTTGTAGTGTTATCAATTTTTTATTATATATATATATTTATTATGTTATCTAAAAAAAGGATAAAATGCATATATGTGCTATTTATATAAAACAAAATACATTTGATACATTTTTTATTAATGAAATGTTTAGACAAGCTTTTGTGTCACTGCATTTACAAAATGCCAATCGACGGCAATTGAGACTTGACTCTCTCTCTCTCTCTCTCTCCATATATATATATATACCTTTATTTTAACAGTAATGCTCCATTAAGACACAGTCTCTTTACAAGGGAGTCCTGTATAGCACAATTTTTCAACCATGAGTTGAAAAACAATGCATCACGTAATACAAAAGTTAAAATACAATAAAAATTTACACAAAATGTACAAAATATTTACATAGACAAAAATGCAATGAAAAGACTAAATGTAGAGCTCTAACTAACTACCACTAAACAACTGCATATATCCGTTAGGATGTCTGTTGTTCTTTTTTTAAAAGCAGCTAAAGAAATTTGCATGACAATCTTAAGCTTAGACTTTTTTCCAGGACATAGTAAGACAGACTCCTCTGACTTCTCAGACTCCTTCAGTCCTCATTTTTGGTACCTTGCAAAGTAGTCCAGCACCTGAAAATATCTACAGTCCTCCTCATCTCAAAAATGTGTTTCGTTTCTTGTTACTTCACTTGAGCTTCACTGTGCAGAATGATATATGGGCAGAGTTTGACACTAGTAGGCTGTTTCCACATATAACACCTGAAGGGGGCAAGTTTTTCTGTGCTCACTTTAAATTTTACCCTTACACAAGATGTGATTACATGAGATGTAGAAACTTGAAACTTCCAGTGCACATATACTTAGAATGGAGTTTCTGGTGAAGTAGTAGTTCAACTTTTGAAATTAAAAATATTTGCATATTCATAGATTCAGGATTTTTCAATGACTGAAAAGGTCTGGGTGTAAATGCAAGACATTTTAACAAGTTAATAAAGTTTTTTGTGAAAAAACCTCATCAGACACACATTATTATTCAAAGTCTTAAAATATGCCAAGGTTGCTGTTTGCGAGTGCACCTAGTTTTAGTAGAGACATACCAGACACTCTCCTCGAGCGCACACGCTGAAGGGGTCTGAATAGCTGCAGCGGGTCCCATCATGCATCACCTGGTTCATGAACACCACCTCCCCTGTTTCCTTTGACTTGCAGCTCAGCTCACACTTACGGGCCTCTGAAAACACAACCACACACACGCACCCACTCACACCTTGGTTCATCCAAGTATCTTCCCAATCTGAAAAAGACATCAGCCTCCTGCAAATATCATCTATCCACTTGTTGCTTTGCAATAAACTTTTAAGCTAACCTCTGAAAGAGGGAGCCAACTTTGCTTCGCTCCTTACAGACTTACCATCTGGGTGCTCATACGGTAGCCAGGTGTGCTTGATGTTTTTGTGGTATTTGTTGCTCCTCTGGATGCACTGCTGAGCACGGAAGTCCTCGTAAGTGCCAGCACACTCCTCTGTGTTGCACATCTGGTAGTCGAAAGCAGAGCCAGGGCAATCTCGACCGCCGTAGGCAGGCCTGATCAACGACAAAAACAAAACGATGTCATTAAAGATGTTTTCTATCATGACATCCAAAGGTTGTCCTTCTAGGTATGATTTCAGAACGTTTTGAAGGAAATGCTTAAATCCATCTGCCACTTTGGATTACCTCTGCCAATTAGAAAGCAAAACATTTTTTCTAAAACTTTCATCCTTTTGTTTTCTGAGCTGTTTGAGGGTTTTAATTTATTCCAGCCGTGAGCAACTCATCCATAACACAAACTGATACATTGGGGGTGATGAAACAGCTCCAAAAGATTTTTCTTATGAAACTGAATGGGCAGTTTGATTGACTTCCGGCGTCACACATATTGTATAATTTTTGATTAGTATAAAATGGTATGTTGATGTTTTTGTATAATAACTTCTAAAACAGTATCACAATAAGTTTGTCATAGTGTATCATGTACATACTGTGTGGAAACGGTATCTCGAATGGACTTGGCACACAGCTACTAGTCTCAGTTGTTTGTCACTTTCTTGAGGTAACTTTATTTTTCTCAAAAACTGTTAAGAATTAGCATGGAAGTAGGACACCATGCAAGTGACCTGCAACTGGAGAACCTAATTGGAATGCAGCCATCATGGATGCTGGTGCTGCAGCTTTCCTACTAAATATATGATCACATCAGCCTTCCATTCAGCACAATTGCCCCACATTCAACCTTGAAAAAGGATTTGATGTCATGGATCTGACATGAAATCTGATATGATGACGATACACCCCTAGAATTATGACTTTTCCATTTCTGAACACACAACATGCTTAATGTGACCGTACCTTATATTTCAAGTGTCTGCTGTGACAAAGGCCTATTAAACAAGCCTGGTGCCTGCAGATAACGATGGATTGAGAACCCCATACTGAGTGAAACAACGTTTTGTTTCTGTCATTTATCCTTTTTAGTAGTAAATAAATGTGCCTTCTCCTGCGTGGTATTATAATTTTGTTTTTCACAGTCCATAAGTCTGAATTCTAAAGGGTCTAAAATTTAAATACGTTTTTCATTATATGCCGTCGGAGTTAACTATAAAACTGAAAAATGTGTTAAATTAAGAAAAATGTCATCAGGTAAAATTAAAACTTTTAATTATTTAAACAGTAAAGTATAACAGTAAGTAACATAAAGTAGCTCACACTCCTGAACACTTTCACGTTTTTGTTTAAGCAAACTTAATCAAAGCCAGTACTGGCTCAAAAACCGTCTCTGCTATCCAGCTCTTCATTCACACATTTACAGTATGTCATCATCTGTTGGATGAACGCACATTTCAAATAAACTATTTGGCCACGGAAAAAGTATCTGATTTTGTTTTTTCATTGTGTTCTCTTTTTCTTTCTTTCTTTGCTTCCCAGAATCGGCTTCCTCACTGGCAATGCACTCACGGAGGGTTGTTGCACTGTCTGTTGCGGGAGCGAACTCCACCCCCACATGTTCTGGAGCAAGAGCCAAACTTTGACCAGGAGCCCCAACTCCCATCGTGGCCCTGGGGCTGCTGGCTGGATCTCCAGATGCAATGGCCCTTGAAGCACCACTAAAAATAGGCAGGAGAAAAGTCAGTGCCAAAAAGCAGAAAGCAAGAATGGTCAACAAGTCCAGAATAATGACATTTAAAATCATTTCAAGATGTTTTAATTTTTTTAATTTCTCACCTTTCCTGGAGCACACTCTGTTCCATCCACCGGAGGACCTTTTTTGGTTTTACAAAAGTACTGGTTGTCAGGGTGACTGCACCACAGTTGCTTGCAAGGATCGTAGGTTCGAAACTAAATGAGGAAACAGCAACTTTGAGCTTTTTGGAAATATAGACGAGTAGACAAACTCAATATCAGCCTCAGCTAAATTTTAGATGAGGCACGTGATTGAATTTTTAAAATTCCCATGAGAGGCTCTTGACTTTCTATAAGATAATGTGCCATGGTGTCTCTCAAAAGAACTTTTATGTATCATTTCCTGGCAATCCTGCATGTAAGAACTTTACATTTTTAACAGGTGACTTATATGTGTTATTATGTGTTTATCTAGTCTGTATTTGCACTCCATTATCATGTTACTGTATTGTTATCGCTTGTAATGCATTAACAGCTTTTCTAGGCCATGTAATAAATGTGTGTCTATGTGAGGGGACCTCAGAATTTCTGCTGATTCAAGAGGAAAAATATGACTCAAATCATTAAATCAACAAGTTGGGGATTTGGGGACTTACAGCAGTGCACATTTTGTAACCAACACCAAAATCAAAGCGGCACTGCTCGTCCATTGAATAATTTATTCCAGGGAGCTCAGGAAGCTTGGGCCACTTGTGTTCAAAGGGATCATCCAGCAGGCAGTCATAGGAGCTGAGAAAAGATGAAAATAATAGAGTCATGAATGAAAAAGGGGGAGAACACAGCAGATAAGACGAAACTTTAAAAAGTCAATAACATTAAGCTGCTGCACACATAAGCAGTGCAGCATAAGCCAATATAGGGCCAAGAGAAAATGAGAAATCATGGACTGAGTGAATCAGAACATACTGGATGTATCGATTGAGCTCCTGCTTGCTGCAACGTGACCAGTGATAGCGGTGGAAAGCTGCTTGGACAAGTGGAGCCATGATGCTGCCCATACTGGTCTCATCAGCGCAACGATTTCCCTGGCCATCATGCTCCATGCCTAGCCTGATGGGGGGAAAAGGTTTATTTACAGGAGGTGTATGAAACCTCTAAGCAAATTATGACCAGCAAAATCACAGGAGACTAATCTTACGTCTTCCCTGTCGTTAAGGTCACATCCAGAACAGATGAGAGAGCGAAGTATAGGAGAAATACTGATCAAAATTTGTCCATAGAGCGAAGTATCTAAAACTGTCAAGTATTGAAAGTTGGCCTTAAAGTGTAGTCAGATTCTTAGTGTAGTTTACCTTTTCTTTGATCAGATATTTCCTGATTTAAAACCAGTCTTTTATTTAGATAAACTTCTTCAGCTGCTTGCATTGAGAATTCTGGTGTATTTTGCTTTATGAAACAACACCATTTTATATTTTATTTACTTCATTCATTCATTCCAGATGTGGGCAGATAGAGATCTATACTATCAATATTATGATAATAACTCTTGCCTTGCACTCTTTGTTTCCCTACATGGAGGCAGTAATCACCTCCTTAGTGCAATTCACACAAGAACAATTTGTTATTTACCATGTATGTCTTGTGTTTAAATGTGTGTGATTATGTCATTAATTAATTAATTACAGAATTGTAAAAAAAAAAAAAAAAAAGGAAGGATAATGTTGCTAATGCATGTATATCATAATTAACAACAGATAGCTTGTCCCAACATGATAGTAAAGAAGTTCCTTTTCATACATTGTGCTTTGGTATTGGTATCTGTATATCGGTATCTGTACAATATTGGTGATTTTAAAGTCTGACATTGACTTATTTGCTTCTTGTTGTTTTTATAGATGTTTTTATGGATAAACCAAGCAAGATACTAATTAATACTTAATTATTGAGCTATTGAGGTGCTTGAGGGTGAATTGTTGTTATCTTTTTACATCACCAGACATGCTCTATCCCCGTTTCCAGTCTTTGTGCTAAGCTAAGTTAACTAATCTGCTGGTGGTGGCTTCATATTTAGAGTACATGCATGAGAGTGGTTTACTCTAACTCTCCGCAAGAAAGGAAATAAGTGTTTCCCAAAAAAGTCTATTGAAAACTATTGCTTCCAACACCACCACTTTGGCGGAAGCCATGAAAATTGAGAGAGGTCAAACATACCAACAATATGGCTAAAAAATTGGAGAGATGACATTAGAGCGTGGGTGGATATCATTGATGAAATAAACTGTCAATGAGAGATCACACGGAGTTGCAGAGGCTACTGGACTACGAGACAGGACTTTGGCTTATTATGGTGCTACTAGCATCAGATATGTCTTTGTACCGAAATACAGTGAAATGCTGTCTACAGGGGAGTGGGATTTGCTGTAAGATCTCTATTAGCCACCCACTAACAGCTCTATTGGTTGAACCGCTCTCAACACAATGAAACTTTCTTACACATTCTGGTTGAGCTTATAACTCTCATTAGGTGAATGACAGATGTAGTAATTGAATACCAACAGAATAATTGACTTTCCTTTTTTTTCTCTTTTTTCTTTTCTTTCTTTCATCTTTGTTAAAATAAAATCTTATTAGCCGTTCCAGGTGTAGGTACTCATCTGTTTTTGAATATATGGAAAGAAAACCCCAGGATCATCCTCCAGCTTTTCAGAGAGTGATTAAAGAACTCCTTGATGAGAAAACCCCCTGAGGCACAGAAGCTAGTGGAACAGGAAAGGGGGCAGGTCTTTAGTGCTATATGGGGCAGTGGGATCAGACAACACATGAATTATCAAAGTTCTAAAACAGTACAAGCTACTTAAAACAAAATATTCACTTATGCATCACATAATAATTATATGGCTAAAATCTGTCACTTGCTAACTGAAGATCTCACTGCATCTGCAGAAATGTGTGATGCATAATAAATAATCTTCAGTCATTTTCATTAGTGATATTTTTTCTTTTTAGACTTTTATGAACATGACTTTTATGATGTATGAATATCTGCAGTGCCCTGACCTTACTGAAACTACATGTCGAGGTAAAAGAAAAACATTTCAAGAGACCAATCGATGATGCCATATTTCATTTTTATGTATGAAGCTCCAGAGAAAAACAGTCTTTATATAATATGAAGATCGGCTTTGTTACATTCATCAATATATATGGTGGAATGTGCAAAAAGTTAGTTGTGCCTTCTAATATCAAATTAAGTTTTGGCCATTAGGCAGGACCTTTATGGAAGATTTTATTGGACTTTAATATTTGTAACCCACAGAAAACAATCCACAAACGTGTACTATGATGCGCAAATATTTCACTATCTAAAAATATGTATTTTTACATTTGTGATGTGTAAAATCATATCCACAAAAGTACAGAGTGACTTCTACACACAAAACAGTTTTTGCACATTTCCAGATTGCTTTTTGTCAATTTGTGGGTCATGTTACATTTGTAACTTCTTTTTTACACATTTGTGGAATTTTGTCCAATGTATACTGCGGAGATCTGTAAAAAAATATATACACAAATATCTCACTACCCAAAACTTGTATTTTTACATTTGTGTTGTGTAAAATCATATCCACAAAAACACAGTGCAATTTGCAAATATGTACAATTTACTCTCACATATTTTAATAAACGTTACATTTGTGACTTTCTTTTTACACATTTGTGTACCACAGAGATCTGTAAAAAGAGATCTGTAAGTGAACAGTTTATTAGCTACACCAGCAGGTGGCGGTAGCAAAATTGCCTCTCATTAGTTGAAAGAATATCCATTGCAGTACTCAGGGTCACCTGTAGGAGACAACAACTTCTGCTTCTGCTGGACCACTAGACTCGGTCTAAATTTGTCTGTACAAGTGTATATAATTTACTATTGAATACTTTATCACTCTATTTGTTTTACACCTTAACCTAACCACCTTTAACCTTATTGCAGCTAATAAATAAATAGCCATTTGCTGGACCACCAGGGGTCCTTAAGGGTAATAAATAGTAAATTTAATAAATTTACTATTTAAAATTAAAAGAATAAATAGTTTTTCACCATAATTTCATCCATAAGTAATACAATGACAGAACGTATGACTATTGGGTCATGGTTTCATACAATTTCTGTAATAAAACATCTAAAATCTAAAAAAAAAATCTGATAAGCGTGTCTGGGACAAAATATTTTCAAATTGAGATCTGAGGTCTAATTTGTGTCAGTTGTGTCATTTACGTTGAAGTGAAAAATTTGAATACCACTCAAGATTTGGGTAAACCAAAAAAAGACTGAATGCAAGACAAGAGAATAAATATACTACTGTGTACCTAAGGCTTTGTCCTGTCAGTATGTATACATCTTGCACAAAGTTTCATCTTTCTCCTTTTTTGCCCATATGACTTGGTGTATTAACACTGTTTGTACTGATTGTATTTTACCTTTTTTGTGGGGAAGAAGAAATAGAAATAAAAAGTAATCTTCTTAATCATTTCATGTCAAAAGATTGAAAAGTTATAACTTGATTGAAATGCAGTTTTCCTTATTGGGCTTTATAGAATACAGAACTTTTCATATACTTTTACAAAGCTGTCTTTCACAGCTATGACAGGAAGGTGTAACATATTACTACAAACACAGGCTCATATTTATTTAAATATAAATTTAAAACAAATAAACTGATAAAGTATTCAATAGTAAACTATATACACTTGACTGAGAGTCCAGTTGTCTCTCAGAAGCAGAAGTTGTTGTCTCCTACAGATGACCCTGGGTACTGCAATGGATATTCTTACAACACATGAGAGGCAATGTCGCTACAGCCACCTGCTGGTGTAGCTAATAAACTGCTCTCACATTTCCAGAACCCTGTTTACAGATCTCTGTGGTACAGAGTGGACAAAATTCCACAAATGTGTAAAAAGGAAGTCAGAAATGTAGCGTGACCTGCAAATTGATAGGTGTGTACAGAGTAAATTGTACATATTTGCAAATTGCACAAATGTAAAAATACAAGTTTTGAGATATTTGTGTATATATTTTTTTACAGATCTCCGCAGTACACATTGGACAAAATTCCACAAATGTGTAAAAAGGAAGTTACAAATGTAACATGACTCACAAATTGACAGAAAGCAATCTGAAAAATGTGCAAAAACTGTTTTGTGTGTAGAAGTCACTCTGTATTTTTGTGGATATGATTTTACACATCACAAATGTAAAAATACATATTTTTAGATAGTGAAATATTTGTACATCATAGTACACGTTTGTGGATTGTAAAGTCCAATAAAATCTTCCATAGACCTTGCTAGTCAGGCCTGGTTTTAACCATAGCTGTAAGGGGGCAGCTGTTCAAACCAGTGAAACACTGTGCTGCTTTAATGTATATACTTGTAACAAAACTTATTTTATGATTTAAAAAATATTAAGCCCTAATTAAATAAGTTAACAAAGTAAACTGGTCCAGCCACAGTTGTAACTTAGGAGAAGAGCTTTTCCAAACGTACTTTAGAAAAGGCTTAGAGTTTGTGTGATGCATCCATAAGTGAAATCCATGCCTCAGCAAACATTTGAAATTAATGTGGATCATTCGGATGAACAGCTGCTTAGATCTGGCAGATTTGTTTTTTGAGGCAATAAAAAAGCTGATTTTTAGGTTTTTTATGTGTTAAGAAACAGCCAGTACTGCCAAGATGTGCCGCAATTAAAGATAGCAAGGTGCATTTGTAAATTATGATGCACACATCTAACTCACTTTTGGAGCATTTCAGTCTTCAGTCTTTTACTGCTTCATTAGCCTACTGATAATAATTCAGCCTTTTCAAGGTAATTATTTGCCTCACACCTGACACCTTCAATGGGCTCTAAATCAGCAAAACTGTCAAAAAAACAGCTGAACATCTTGCATTGTTCTTAAATTACCTCCCAGATCAAAGTCTGAGTGACTATGCTGATTAAGGTTTCTGAATGAATAATAACAATTCAAAAACTTGCAAAAGTACTGGGTGTGCACACATTTCACTTAAGCAATGTGACAATAACCTCATCACATCAATACATCTCCTATCTAGTATTTTTAATAATGATTATCTTGATTTTAGCCATGCCCTTGATTCGTAGGCATTTACCCAGATTTTTGTTGCATGTGCATTTTAAAAGTCGTTCTGTTTCTTACTGTAAGAGGACACCATTTAACACAGTAGATGACATTAGAAAGCGAACGAAGAAGGGGGAAGATGTGTAGAAAAAAGCTGATCATTATGCCTGTGATTGCGTTTTTATAATGAGTAAGTTTCACACTGATTTGCATATATTTTCATGTTTTTTTGTTTTTTTTCTGTCAGCCATCAATTTCATCATATGGTGGAGAAGTTTTGTTTTTTCACAGACGTTTCTCCATAAGCCTTTCGAGTCCTATTAGAGGAGAGGCGGTCTGTGTGAAATGAACTAGTAGTAATACATGATAACTCTGGTTTATGACCACAGGCAGAAGCTGCTTAGCTGTTGAGACCTAATCGTAAATAATAGGCTGTGTAGAGATGGAAAGTAACTTCATGCATTTGTTTATATACTTCAAAGAAATAGTTTGACATTTGGGGAAAATACGGTTATTCACTTTCTTGCAGTAGTAGTAGTCTTTACAGGACATGTGAAGCTACAGCAGGTTCTCTCAGCTTAAAATATAGATCAGGAACAGCTAGCCTGGCTTTGGCTGTGGAGGATTATGTGACAAGACTCTTCAGCTTTCGTGGTGCTGTTAGGCATATTTTGTCACCTTTGGACAGTGACAGGAGCTGTTTTTCCCCTGTTTCCAATTTATATGCTAAGCTAAACTAACTAGTTTCTGGCAGTAGCTTTATATTTAGCTTACAGTCATGAGTGTCAGTCTTCTCTACTAACAACTTTCAGTACATGATTTTATTTTTTACTATATGCTATGGACACATTCTAGTGAATACTGAAAATGTATTGAGGTTTGACTCCCCAATCCCAGTAAAAAAAACGACATTCGATATATAATTTGGTTACATGTTACTGCTAATATTTATATAATTCAAAGTTAAATTGCAGGGCTTTTAAATCAGAATTTTAAACATTGTGGTATTTTTTGTGTTAGTATATTTTCATATTATTTAAATTATTTTAAATCATATAAATTGAGCTATATGATGCTTAATTTTATATCTCTTGTGGTGACACCCCAACCAATCATAATATCCACCCAACCTACTATATAATTTTGGTACGGCGCCACCTCCAACTATGACCTCAATAATAAACATATAATTAAATGTATATACAGAGACCCAACAATTCCCACCATGAGCAAGCACTGGGCAACAGTGGCAAGGAAAAAATCCCTTTTAACAACCTGAAACCTTGTGCAGAACCTAGACTCAGGGTGGGCGGCCAACGGCAACAGCTCAACTGGTTAGGTTGGGTTGGGGGGGAGGCAGGAGGAAAGAGAACACAAAGAAGCACAATGCAAGTTCCACCGAGAGATGCAAAATAATACTTTTGGTAGTGGTAATAATACAAATATCAACAAAAGTAATAGAAACATGGGGGCAGTAAGTGGCTTGTAATCACAGATTCAGATTTATATGTGGTATTGACACATTTATTTAGTCAGTTGTTTTTCCAACAACAGAGCCGAATAAACTCATGTTGCTCGGATGAGCACCTGCATGCACACGCTGATTCAAGCAGTTCCTTTGTTTTGCTAAGACAACAGAGCACCTTTAAAGTTCTCTGCCTCTAATTACAGACTACAGTTAGAGTGCAAAACTATCGCCTTAATTGGACGCAGTAAGATACTGTGAGACTCAGCTGGTGCCTTCATAGTCATGCCATTACTCACACATGGCCGGTTTCATGAGCAACCACAAAGGCAGAGGAGAAGCCGTCCTCGTGGTTCAGAGTGCAGCTCCTCAGTGGGTGGCACATCCCTGTAACCGGAGCGTAACCTGGGCAACAGAAAAGAACACATAGCTCTAATAATTAAGTACCAGGATGAAGGTCATTGACGTTGACATGCATTGCTGATGATTGAGGTGGAAAATGATCTCTTGGTGTGACATCATTGAACTTAAGACTTAACTTATATATGATGTGATTGCAGTCAATGTGAAGGTCTCTGGCTGTCTGACTGATTCTGAAGTTCACAATGGTATATTTGAAAAACAACAAGCTGTGACGTTTGCTTTAAATGTATCTTTCCCATGTATCTATATATATGTGTTGCTTTTGATATAACGCAGTAGGTTGTGTTTCAGCAGCAAAATAATAAAAACAAAACTTCAAGGTGAAATAAACGGAGGTGAAATGTTTCTAATGAGTCTCTAAATTAAAGTAACATGTACCACATACAGATGTTCAATGAAGGGTAATGTGGTGTCAGTCATGTTTGCAGTAAGTCTGCATTCAGAGCCAGATGCCATTCAGTCATTAAATCTAAGGGCCTAACCAGTGACATGCCAAATTAAAATACCAAAGCATTTATATCAACATTAAAACACTTTGCTTAACGCTAATTAACAGCAGATACAATGGAGAGTTTTACCAGGTGGAATGGGAGACTGAAGCTCCTGCGTGACACCTTGTTTAATAAACATCTCCTCACTCAACATAAAGAAAGTTCCAAAGTGAACAGCAAGCTTGGAAGCCTATCATTGTAACCCAGCAGACATCCGCCCGGCATCACAACATTGAACACAGTTTACCAAACTTTTAAGCAAAGCACAAACATTAAACATAACTCGATCAAGAGGTGTGCAGTGATTCAGCTTGGCGTGTTTGGTTCTGGTTCAGAAGCAGGCTCATACAGGCCTTCTTTTGGCGGCTTTCAGATCATTTTCATGCTTTCTGACCATCAGAAGACCTTTTTGGCATGCAGGTAAAGAGCAGAAAATGCAGCAGACAGACAGCCGATGATAAAGACTCTTGAAAAGCACGTATATCAGGTTATTTTGATGGTATAGAAAAAAGTTATTTTAGTTATAGCAGAATATTTGTGGGTTGTTGTTTTTTTTTGCTACAGTGTGATCGTGACGGCGATTTATCAAGGCCAGTTTTTAATCCAGATGGTTGATGGTTCTATTCATAAATGACAACATAAATGGACACATTAAGAGCTGCGGGTGAAATAGCGAAACATGAAAGCAGTGGAGCATGACTCTTTATCTGAAAGGCAGATAAAAAGGAATTCAGGAGAAGGTAGATTATATTCCCATGAGGAGGCCATCAGGAGCTTTGCACATTGAAGCCAAAAGGTGCAGCAGCGGCAGCAGGCAGGGTCAAAAATGTGTTTCTCTACTGCTGATGTCATGAGTGAGGAGAGAGGTGATCTTTGTCATCTGGTTGATAAATTCAAATGCTGAATATACTGTATCATAAGTCAGTGGCAAGGAGAGCATATCAAAAACACTTGACATTATTTACAGGGTGTGATTACAGTGTGCTTGCAAATGCGGTGAACTCATTATCATGTATGTGATTCATCCAGATGTTTTTTTATCTCCATTTGCTTTGCAGCTCCTCCATAAACTGAATGGATTTTCTTCTATTTATTCCACAGCCCAACATGTGTATTTGGATATAGACTCTACCATCTGTCAGCTAATCTTTGACAAGGGAGTGTGATGTCTGCTTGTGACCCCGAGACACAGCACCGGGTCCAGCCCAACACAGTGCAAGGTGCCATAGAAACCGGGCTTGTTATGAACACAACACAACGGCAGCTATGGCAACATCCGGAGGTGTGACAAGCAAACCAGGTAGCCCCGTGCCGTCCTCTAAACATGACACATGTGCTTTAAAAGTTAAAAATATACACAGGTCAATGGAAGATATTGAACTTGAGCACACTGGATGTTTGTTCATTCCGGACCAAGTTTCTCTGAAGGTTAGGCTGCTCACTTCAAATTATGTTTTGAAGGGCTGAAAAGAAGAAATTCAGCGTGAGTCAAACTGACAGAACAACATGTATGGTATAAAACTCCTCCAAATGATTGCATACATGTATTATTAGGGTTAAGAAAGATCAATTCATTATTTATGAGTGAAGAAAAGTTCATACTGAACTTCACAAAACTAAATTAAGACTAAAACAGCAGTTAGTTTACAAAAATGACAAACTAACATTTCTGTTTTTTCTCTACATGCCAAAAACATTCTTCACCAATATCAATCTCAATTTTTCATTTCCAGGGTGGCATCAATGTCAAGTCAGCAGTCAGGTTCTGGAAAGTTACTCAGTAATTATATTCCTGTGAGGTCGCCACTGGCAGAAATGGGGTCGTGACCTCAGCTGCAGCCTCCACTTTTAAGTTTCCACCGACCTTACCTGGGCAAGACTTGAAGCCAACCCCTTTGTGAATGGAAGCAGATATCAGCACTCAGTCTGCACAGGCCTCGATCGAGAAAAATACAGTACCTTGCATACCTGCGGGACCAAAATCTTGCCTTGTGAGGAAGATGGCGTGGTCGTGGTACTCGGAGTGGTCGGGGTCGCGGCGCTGCTGCGTGTTGGCCCATCGGCACACCTGCTCCAGGCTGCGGGATGGGTTACCACGCTCAATCAAGCTTATAGACTGCAGAAATACAAGGACCAGGAAGACGATTTTACCACTTAAACTGTAAATAGTAATGTAATTGCTCACCTTATCAGGGCCACAGCTCCTGCTAAGATGAAAGAAAAAGATTTCTCACCATTGCACTTGAGGTGTGCATATACTTTTACTTTTACTTGTAACTTTTAGATGACTATCCTAGAAAGTTCAGCTAAGACTGAGAAGGAAAGCTTGGGGCACTGTGAGTCCACAGGTGGTAGCTCTGCCAGCTCAATTAAATCTTACAGTTACTTTTTAATAAAATATTTCTATTACAGTGATTAATTAACAGTCATTGTACTGTTTGATTAGTCATCATCACATCTATTTTACTTGGAAATAGAATAATTAACAATTTGTAATTCATAGGTTTTTAAACTCCCCTTTCTTTGAAAGCTGAGGTGCCCAAAGGATATTGTAATACTCCTAATTAAGGATGTGGATGGATTAATGGAAAAATGTATGCATATATATTCAATTCCTGATTCGCCACCTTATGTGACACCATATGTGTGTGTGTTTTCTCTAACTTGCACGGAGTGTCGCCACTGAAAAATGGCTACAGATTTCCATTCAACAACAAAACACAGTCGAGGATGAAACTATGTAGTGACTGATACTGCTCATACACAGAGTGTCATTCCAGTGGAACTAGCAAAACATTTTGAACAAGTGAAGAGAAAAACAAATTCATCCATGCACACAGTGCAATGAAAATGGAATGACAATGTTTTGACTTTGATCACTAGCAAACTAATACAAGGAGTCTTTCTACTTATACCTCACTCTCAACATGCATCTGTTGAACGTTACAATAACAAATGTTCAAAAATCCCTTTAGGTTGGGTTATTAAAACAAGCAACATCTATTTTAGAATATTTCATTACAGTAATTAAAGCTAGATGGGACTATTAAATCATTTTGCGCCCTACATTGTGTATGTAATAATTACATAAGAATAAAATCAGTCCCGGCTGCCTGACCTAACGTCCAGTAATCAGTGCTGAGCGGTTGTTATCATTAAGCACTGAAAATGCAGTGAAAATGTGAAATGCCTTTTTATTTTGGTGTCATAATTTAATCCACAGATCCTGTACACTCCCCATTCTGTTATAGCACTTAACAGCACCCAGTGGCACATATTTTGAACATTTAACAGATATTTTTTTAGGAGCAAGTGGCAACATAGTTAAAAAGGTTCAAGTTAAATCCTACTAAATTGGACTACTGTGCCACCTGCTGTCATGAAGTTGTATGTCTGTGAATGTCCATGGACTAAACAATGCTAACTTACTTGAAAAGCATGTTAAAGTTAAGCTAAATTTCTTTTGTTGAATATTATGTGTTGTTGATTAATTTCACCATGTTTTAATGAAGTCAACTAACGTTATCCGTTTATGTGTTTTATAGCCAGTAGAAAATCTCTCCAGTATAGCTAGCTAACATTAACAAGCATGCGCTGCTTGTCCACATGAGATGACTGTTCAACACTGTTGTCATGAATGCAGGTATGTTACCGTGTGTTGTTATAAAGAGTGTCGTAATATTTTAACAGGAGGTTTAGGTATTTTCAGCTGTTTGCCTCCGGTATGTTGAATTGTTACAAAGTTACATAATTGTTTGCACATAATTGTTTAGAGAAAATGGAAAAATGTAAAGGTAACTGTAGGAAATCTATCTAATTACAGAGTTTTATGTTGTTTCCTCCTTGTAAAATCAAGAGGGACAATTTGGTGTGTTTATTTTATTTAGTCATATGAGTTTAAATCCGGGGCGGCGCGGTGGTACAGTGGTTAGCACTGTTGCCTCACAGCAAGAAAAGCCCCGGCCTTTCTGTGTGGAGTTTGCATGTTCTCCCCGTGTCCGCATGGGTTCTCTCCGGGTTTCCCGGCTTCCTCCCACCATCCAACATGCAGGCTAGGTTAATTGGTGTCTCTAGGTGTGGGTGTGAGTGGTTGTTTGTCTATGGACTGGCAACCTGTCCAGGGTGTACCCCGCCTTTCGCCCGATGTCAGCTGGAATTGGCTCCAGCCCCCCTGACCCTGTACGCAGGATAAGCAATGACGATGGATGAATGGAGTTTAAATCCACTATACAATCAATGTGTCAAACTGTACTTTACATTTGTGTAGAGTTTTAAGAATAGTGCATACAGTAATCCCAAAAAAGCAACGGAGGATTTTCCCTTAGATGTGGAATAAACCTGCTGCTACCGCAAACCTGACTGGCTCTGAGAGATTATATCACATAGAAGACATCTCACAGAGGTCACACAAGCTATAACAAGTTTGATGAGTCATGGCAACTGAAATAAAATCAGTAAGCGCATTAATATGCAGACAAGAAATCAGGTTACTAAGAAAAATCAGGTCATGCAGGTCATGCAGTACCTGTGGTAACCTGGTTGCTGTAAATCTACAAGTACATGCTGCATTCAGAAGTAAGATTTTCCCCCCAACCTAGGACCTTAATTTGCGAGCACTGTTAATTTATTTTAACTGTAGTAGTTTCAGAATACAATTCTAGATACTTAGTGTTAGTTTCAGTTTTAGTCCAACTTATGCATATAGTGAATATGGGGATGCATCACAAATGATTTGTTCTTTTCATCCAGTTTCATCCAGTTCATCCTGCTGTCAAAGCGATACTTTCCCTGTTGTAAGTCTTTGTCATTCACATGCTCAAATGTAAAGCACTGTTTAGAAACCCATTTATGTATATACATAGCAAAAATATCGTCTTACTTCAGGAGAAGTCTAACTCAGGTTTCCCTAATGCCCTACCCCATTTACTGAATATAAATTATGTTAAAGAAATCAGATTACTGCAGAAAGCAGACTGTAATCCAGTCACTTACATGCATGTAAACACCCTGACTGAGTCAGTCTTACAGGAATAGTTTGGCATTTTGGCAAATAATTTGGCTCTATCCAGCTGTAACAACATCTGCCTACCTGTACCTCTAAAGCTCACAAATGAACACAGTATATCACATTTGTTTAATCTGTACTAGCCTTTGGACAGAGCCAGCCAAGCTAGCTCTGTCCCCCTGTTTTCAGTCTTTATGTTAAGCTATGCTAACTGCCTGCTGTACATATTTCCTGTACAGACCTAAGAGTGGTATGGATCTTCTTATCTCTTGTTTTCAATGTGTATTCAATAGTATTGTTTATTGTATTATTATTTTTTCATAAATTGTAGTTATTTGTTGCTGTCAACATTTAAACTTTTCTTTAAATGGGGTAGAGCTTTCTCAAATCCTATCCTATTCTATCTATTTTTTTTTCCATTGAAAGTTGAAGGAGTGTCTGTCACAATGAAGCTTCTATTTTTCTCAAGCTCAGTCCTTCTTGTTTTCATTCTAAACAAAATGTAAAATATACTGTATCACTTCCTGAAGTAACAGCACTGTTATCATGTACAATGTAAGTTTAAATCACTGAAAATATGTCTGGTTTCAAACCCAGTCCTGCACCAAATATCTTTGCTTTAAAAGAAGTTTTAAAATATATTTTCACATATAGAAAATAACAACAATCTGAAAGCTCACCTGTCGGTACCCGACCATTATCATGCGGACAAGGACAATGTTGATGTTGGTTCCCAAAGATTCATCGTGGTAGATTTCATCAACCTGAAAGGAAATTAAAAGCCTCAGACACTGTACTGAAGGATGACGAAGGATGAAGAAACGGTGCATTTGATGAAAGTGATTGAGAACGTCTCACAATATTGAGCCTGCAGAACATGTACAGGTCAATAACACAATCAACCACATGGCTGTCCTTAAGGCAGAGCATTAATACAAACACACTGCTGTCAGAGTCAGTGGGAAGAAAAATACAATAAAATAAAACAAAGGCCTAAAGTTAGTGTGGGCAGGATTTTCAGCTGAGGATTACAAAACAAAAGTACAGGTCCTTCGGTTCATCACTAAATTCTGGAGTTTCCATGGGAGACAGTCCTGAGTTATAAATGGGCCTTTATTCACAAGTAGGTACTGAAAAGGTCTGAAGATGCTTATTGTGACAGTTCTGACTATGCACATCAAAGGCCTCAACTGGTGTCAGAAGGATTGGAAAAAGATTAAGCTTGGTTTTCAGAAATCTAACAAGGGACATTATTAAATGGTTGCCATGCTGGCTAGTGTGTGATGCTTTGTATCAAATGTAATCAAAGGCAGAGAACAAGAAAAAGTAAAGGATGTATAACATTGGTGGATATAGCTTTCACTACACTAAGTGCTCAGTCTGTTTGGGGAACAGTATTTTTACTTTCTTGCTGCTTTTAAGAGGGATTAATGCTGTTTGTAGTTATTTTTTTGCAGGAAGGTATAAAGTCTTTATCAGTAACACGGTATGAAGATGATAATTCACCTCTCTCTTGAAGCGAATCTGTTTTATCTAAAATCTACGGAGCAAACATCTGTTTGAAACTGCTCTGATAGCGATAAGTAACAAAACACATTACGCTTCTTTTACTTCCACAGATTTTATTTCTGAGGTACAGCGTCTCCAGCATTAAGTCGCCTAACAATGGGGGAGTTTATTTGTTGTTGTTTTTTTCCACCTCTTACAACAAGTCTGAAATAATGATTAAATATGCTGTTAAGGTATTGGCAACCATCCAATGAAACCAGTATTGTTATGCAATGGCAAAAAAAACCCTGACCCAGAAATGTATCGACTGCTACTTGGCTTTATAATAATGCCGTGGTATGCAGATGCTTAACCCAGGGCCAAGCTAGGATCCCATTCAAATCCCAAGTCCGTTTTCCACTTCAGTGTGTTTTATTTTCATCAAATGGTCGCTGCATGTCGGCACTCCTCCGGGGCCCCATAAAGTCAATCAACTGCCTCTCTTTGCAGTTGATAAATAAAGTTCAGAGGAGATAAGAGGTGAATATTTCTTTTTCCATAAATCAGTAAGTCATTCGGTTGGGACATATTGGTTATGGATTGTAATTAACGTCAAACGTCAACGCCAAACAAACTGGGCGACTCTTGATTTGTAAACATGGAGTCTTTTAGCTTCACAAAGCACCCTCACATTTCTCAATGTGACTTCTGAACTTGTTACTGAGAGGAAACACATGTTTTACAACTGGCATTTTAAGGCAAGTGGGTTGACCCGGTGTGATACTGACTCATAAATCTTGATATGTCATGTAACAAGCGTAGAAAATACTTCATGTAACATCTGTGCATAATGTATCACCATCTTCATTATTTGTCCAATACTGCTAATACTTCTATAAAGTTTTTTTTTATTAAGAATGAACATAGTCATGCAAACTCAGCTACTCTTGCAACAACTATCAAAGAGTCGGTGCGACAAAAAAAAAAAAAATCCCTATACTTTCTCACTTTTCTCTATTAGAGTAGGAAAAGTAGGAAAAAATGTGGTGTGTAAAAGTCCCATTTATTTTTTCCACAAACAATGTTACATGACACTCTCTCAGATAACGACAGTATTAGAAAATACCTGAATTTTATTGAAAGTCCATGATACAGTGCTACGAGAAGTACTACGAGTACCAATGAGCATTTCGGAAAGAAATATCCAGTCACAGAGCCTAGATCTATTACGTGTGCAGCTAACAGCAAAGTGAAGCTAAAGATTACATTGTTGAGAAAACAATCTGCAGCTTAAATTATTTCATTTTGTCAGATTTGTTTGGAAAAATCTAAATGATCGTGGTTTTGTTAGCATCGCTCTCAGCCATCTCCCAGCCTGCCAATAACATGATCTACCAAAGGTCATAGAATAATTGGTGGACACCCTGTGTAATTTACAAGAGCCCCAAGGTGAAGTTCGATGTTTTCATTAATGCTGCAGCAGAGGCAGTGAGCAGCTGTGATCTCTCCTGATGATGATGAAAGCATATGCAAAGAAATCCCACAAGTGTTACTTTGCTTCACGAGCAGTCCTGACAAAGAGGCAGGATGAATATCTGCAGAATTTCAACCACAGCCAGCCCTCCATATAGCCAAGATTATATATATATAGTATTATTTGTATATAAACACACAAATAAACAAATAACTTGAAGACATTCAGACCTCTCCAAATCTCCGCTCTTTCTTTTCCTGATTTAAGAAGAGATGTGTCCGGGCTCATAAAAAAACAGAAATTTCAGATATGGTAAACAGAATAAGAGACTGCTACTCTTTGCTAAAACACCAACAAGTGTGTGTCACTTAGCTTTCACTGGGAAAAACTTATGACAGTGCTGAACAAAAGCCCTGTCACTGAAGAAAGGCTACCTTGGCTTAAGTCCAAATTTGTTCTGGGACACAGGGTTACACCCAAGGCATTTAAGCAAATATTCCATTCACAGAAGCCTATTCAGGTCAATAAATGCTGTAAAGAACACTCGACTGACCCCAAGTTCCCCCAGATTTGTTACAAGCTCAAATTCCTAGAACAGTCCATACTGACCTATATACGTGTGTTTATGTTGGACCTGAAAACAAAGAAACTGTAGAAAAATGAGGACAGAATAAAGAAATTGCATCATATAAGTTTCATGATGACTTTTGTAAACAGTGAAGTTAAGTTTTCCTGACAGGACTCAGGTCTATGCATTCAACCTTAAAAAAACTTTTTGGCGAGTCCTGCTGAGGGATGGGCTAGCCCCACGTCAACTGGGATAATCACAAAGCCAGGAGGAGGGTCTGGGATCGGACTGAAAATGAGAGTAGCAGCTGTGGGCTACAGGCGCTAGGTGTCCCTGGCTTGTGTACAGCATCACATCAACGTGGACAAAACCTGGTCCGTGCTTAAACAACACAGCCATTGTGCTGCAGGCACCTCAGCAGTCACCTTGGCTTTGCGCAGACAGGATGTTCAGTAATCAATCCCTCAGGGAGAGTTTCTCCAGGTGGTACTACACATTCTGCAGCCACGGAGCAGGGATTCAGAGGGATTTGAGTGGGCAGAGCTCTTTCAGACACAGCAAGCCTGTGGCTTACAAGTGAAACTAAAGACTTTAGACCCTTATTTGTTTAAATTGCGCCTTTCTTTGTGGAAGTGTCACGTTTCTCTCGTCAAATTTTACTCAAGCTGAAGGGGAATATGGGAATTGCTTTCAAGAACTTTACTTGATTTCACTTTATAGCTCAGTCAGTTTCATCCCTAAGAACTTCCTCAAAGTTACTTCTATTGCCAGTGATCTGAAATACTCCTAAGTGCTTATAAGAGCACTAGACACAGAGGATTGACAATTAAAGAGCGCACTCGTGCACCCTCTTCCCAGCATAATCAGCCAAGGTCATTAAAAATCAGACATTTCTTCCTGCCGAAGACATTGGAGGACAGAATGTGAATATTATATACTAATTAAATAAACACTTCCTTCCATGTAAACACAGCTTGGCAGTGCAAGCGGACTACTGGCGCTGGTTTCCATGACTGCCCCGCACAGCTCCCACTCAACTTTCTAATTGGTCTAGTGCAGCTAATCAGACCACCATGCAGGGTCCAAATGGTAACTGTTACAGAGTGAAACCAGCACCCTGTGAAAATCTGACTTGGGGGATTTGGGCCCAGTAAGTAGCTTATGGTGGTAGGAGCTGGTGGAACCCGTAATGAACGAGCTGTGAGTTTCTCCCCCTCCTCTCCTCTCATCTGTAATCCATAAACAGCTAGAGAAAGTGGGGATCTGGGGAGAAGTATGGCAAGGTCTAATAGAGAGGACAAGGAGGAAAAAATAACTCCACAGGTAGATAAAAAAAGAGAAAAAGATTACCAAACTTTTTCATGTAAACAAAGGATATTTCTAGAGCTGCAACATTTACTCGATTGATTGTAAGTCTTTTTTTTTTTAAGCAAAACTGCCAAATTTCACTAGTTCAAGCTTGGAATTGTCATCGCCCTTGACTTTAGGTCGTTAACTGTTGGGTATTGTTGACATTTAAAATAATAGTTTTATGATATTTTATAGTCGAAACGATCAATCAAAAAATCAATGTATGAATGAAAACAATGGTTAGTTGCAGCCCTTGATGTTTCATTATGGGAATTTGTATAAACAAGCAGAAGGTGGTGAGAATTTGATGAGCATTTCACTCCAAAAACAGAGTAGACTTACTATGTTCATGAGTGTAAGAACATAATTCTGCACATGCTCCTTGCCATGGAAGCGCAGCACAGAGTCGTCCACAGCCAGCAGCACCTCAATGTTGTAGTCGTCTTTCTTCGCGTGCCTCCTCTTGCGCTCCGACTCAGAAAGTTTATGTTCGACGAGATCCAGAGCCACTGGGAGCTTTGCGATCCCGAAGTCTACCACTGCAAAATATGTACAGCACATAAGTCAGTGAATAGGCTGTGGTAATATTTTTTGGCTATTTCTTCTCTTATATCAGCTTCTGTGAAGGGATATATGTCTGTGTCAAACCCGACATAAAAATATCTCAAAGGAGGAATCCTTTGGGACTATTGACAGGCCTGTGGGCTTTCTAAGTCTCTTGATCTGAAGTCAAAATACTCTCCTTAGACTCATAAACAGTTGGCATTCAGAATATGTGCATTTGGAGCACTAATCTCAGCTGAGTTAAACCAAATTCAAACAAACATTCATCCATGTCAAAGCACTTCAGCTGTTTTCTATATGTGTGATATTCATGCACAGTATGTCGCCTATCTATGGCAGCGTTTGTCAGAGTTGTCGAGATTAGACGTAATGTCATATAATAATAATAAAAGAAAAAGAAGTTACAGGCAGTGATCCACATGTTTGGAACATGGAACTAGATAAACTGAAAACTGATGTGCTATAATGTGAGACAAACACCACAGAGGCAATAAATAGAAAGCACTCAGAGAGAACACATCACTGCCAAGACTGAACAATACAAAACATTTAGTCTTTTTAATCTGCATGTGGATCTGCTTCATAACACATGACCATTATGTACAAGAACCAATTATATTTAGCAGCAGTTCATTAAAAATAGCATGCCTCATCTTTTCACCAAAGTAATTTACAAGTTCCCTTATATACACAAGCAAACAAAATAATTCCCTTGATGGAGATAATAACTCTTAAATGTAATTACAGAATGTGCTGACAGAGAGAGAGAGAGAGAGAGAGAGACAACATGTCTATCAGAAATGGCCTTGTTCAAACATTCACGCCATGTTGCTCGAAACTATGAATTATTGCAATCTTTTGTAAAAGACTCCACAGACGGTAGGGGTTCCAGGCTGCCAGATATAAATGGAGACACAACACATTATCTTATGCATACCTGAAAATCCATTGGACAAGGTATTTTCAGAAGTACACTGCATAAAAATGGAACTGAAGGACAAATGCAGTGTTCAACTAGCTCCAGGCAAATCTTTAAAAAAGTAATTTATTCTAAATAAATATAAATAACTGGTAAATGCACAACAGGTGACAACTTCTTTGCACCAGTTATGGTTGTGTTAATTAAGATGAATGTGTTAAACAGCTGCAAACACTGGATTATTTTTAATAAGCAGTAAACAAAACAGCTTTCAAAGCTGGCATTTTATTTAATACCTCATATTCTTGCATAATGCAGATAAAAGCATGGACAGAGACATTACATGAGAGCGACAGGGTGTAAAATATTATTCCAGTTCAAGTAAAATTTGGACAGCGGTACTGAGATTATTCTAGGGTCTGTTTGCTGTTGTGGAAAAAGCAGCATCACCTGTTTTAAGCCTTATGTGGGAAGTTGGCTCTCCCACAGGGTCGTGACTGTGAAGGACATAAATCTGGCAAAAAACCCAGACCTAACACTGAAAAGCTTTCACAACAGTGAAGTGCACAATTAGTCGGAACAGGACAGGCAGGGCACTAATGCCTCCCACTGTAAATGACATCTTGCTAGAGTGAGTTGATGGCTAAGGTATATTGTGTTGGTACAGAAACAGTACTGGAAGGTCAAAAATGGCAACAATATTCAAACGCAAAGACTGGATACAACCCCAAAATCAGAAAGTTAATAAAAATAAACGCAATGGATTTAACAAGAGCTTTGAAAAAAAGATTGTTGGAAAATGTGAATGAGCAGCTTGATATAAATTGTTCCTGAGGATGTGTGAGCTAGAGAGGCTGTGTAATGAAATGAAAAGACCCATACATCAGTTTTACAGCTACAGACACTTGGAAATGGCATGAATTAAAGAGTATAGTGAGCCTTCCACCAGATGTTCAAGCTATTGTTGTAGCAAGGAATGAATAAAAAAGGAATTCATGATTGAGTTGGGTGATTTGACTGCGAAGGAAAGGTCACTCCCCCTCTTCTAACCAGCTCCCCCACCCTCCCCTGTCCCCAGTACTACCACTGGAGCCCAGCATTCCTTACATTAGCAGCTGATGTAGGGAGCACTGCCTCTGCAGTTAAGCCTGATAAATATAGAGTAGTAGGAGTTTAAAAGCTGCAGAGTTTAAGGACCACACCAAAAGCTGCAGGGTGAAGTTACCATATTGATGTGTTTGCAAGTTTTAGCTGCTTAACTGCAAATGGTGCAAACTTACATTTCTGATTTAAGTATAGTTTGACAGATTATATTTTTCAATGTGGTTTCCATTAATTTCAGTTAAGTATGTCAATCAATCAATCAGCAGGCTCTTAAAACTTGTGGAAGCAATGTAAGTGAATATCCAGTATGGATTCTTTCTTGTCAATGCTACATTATCCACCACCAAATTAGGGCTAATTATTAGTTACAGTGTCTGTACCACCTGTCAAGTTTTTGTTACCAAGCATTAAATGTCTGGTCAGATTTAAAATCTGGTTTACTTGCTGCTGCTTTAATCAGATAGTTCATGATTTTAGTCTCCATTTTCTTTTGAAAAAGATGCATTAATGTTTTGTAAAAGCTTTAACATATCATCACCATATAAAGTTGTAACGCGAACGGTTGCCAGCACACGTGAAGCAATATTATCATTCATTCATCTTTAGTCGTGTTTATGGTCTCATGAGGAACGTAAGTATAATCACCCTTCTTTAAGTCTTATTTTTGGTCTCTACCAACTTCTGTAAAAAAAAAATATATATATATATGGTTCTTAAGCTGCTAAATACTCCACTATGTTCGCCAGCTAGGCAAATAGATTACAATGGGTTGTAACAGTTGAAAACAGTTCTGCAGCTGGAGAAAAGGTTGAATAGGGTGGTAAGACTGAACCAAAACAGTAAAGTTGCAGGCTGTAAAACCAAAACAAGGAGCTGAAAGATGCTATAATTCTCCATAGATTTCAGATACGTGTAATAATTCTCTCTGGGTTCATCATATAGAGACCAATTTCACATCAAACATAGTCATTTGATCTCATTTAATATAAAAACGATTGATTAGTGCAGTTTTAAACAAACAAAAAGGTCTGTAGAAAAACATTCACATTCCACAAAGTTAAGTATCAGTAGTTTGACTGGTGTTGATGTTCACTGTGGCTGTTTTAGCAGTCTGCTAATATATTTTCATATGCAAATTAATGGAAAGAAATGGTTGACTGAAACATCAGGAAAAATACATTCAAATTTCTAAAACTAAATAGTTTGCTGTGATGTAAATTTCATGAGTTGAAAAACAAATTAAAACATGCAAAACCACTGGTGTTTTAAATGCAGTTAAACCTCTGTGTGTAATATTAATTTATTTATCTAGGTACTCAGAAATTATTCTCTGTTGTTCTATTTGTTGTAGGCCTTTGTGTCAATTTCTCTGATGTAATACCATACAGTCCTTGCTAAAGACATCCACATACTCAACACACACACAGTCAAAACACACATGGTGCTTTTTGCAGGGCTTTTTGTTTCCACTGACGTCACGCTGCTTCTCCTCGCCTACCTTCATTGTGGAGGTCCTCCCTCCGCTGGCCCGTCTCACGTTTGATGGCTGACCTGCGGTAGACCACATGGACACGCCCCTTCACTTCCACATCCTGTTGGCCCTTCTCGAGGGGCTCAATGAAAAACTCCCCATTATCAGTCCGGATCAGACCTGCCTGGAAAAAGACAGCTTCAAATTAGTGCACCCCTCCTCCTTCAAAGGGCAGTTATTCCACTGAAGCCATAATTATAGTATTCCTGATCAATGGGAAGATTTAGAGGATATGGGGAATGACGCAGGTTGACACAACTTGGGGCCCTTCAAGCCCTTCACTAAGATATACTGAGCACCACCATGACTTCTAATTGAACAAGTTCATGAATAGTAATGTCTCCATTCACTCGCATCTTTCCATCTGCTGCACGCTTTTTATGTATTCAAAGAAAACCCCTCAGTTGGATACCAATCTGGGATGTTCAAAGAATTCAAAGCCTTTGTTCAAGTTTTACAATTTCTCTCAAGTACTCACTTTCTCTCAACCTGCCTGATGTGCTCCACTTCAATTAGCAATTTCAGATGCTTCCCAATATCCCTTCCAGCCACCACAGAGAGCAGCTGCGGTCTTACTGCTTTCATTCAAAAGTAAGTATACCCCCAGGGGGTATTATTAGGTGCACAATGAGGTTGTGTACTTCAGGGTGGGCGTGTTGACCATTCTGTCGCCCCCCACACTTGTTCAAACTTTTATCAGTGTTGAATTATGGGTTAGGAACAGTTACTGTCTTCTGAGGCAGATTTCTCCCTGACTGATTAGAATTTCAGTGAAAAATGGTCCTCACTGAAAGACGACGTTGCTCAATTTAGTGAGATTGTCAAAATTCACATTTGTCATTCAACATCAGAGCATTGATTCAGTATGAACAATATAACTATCTCAGGGCCATTCTGTAAATGACCTCACACACATTTTCTCTCTGCAGATCTGCAAACACATATACCGATAACAAAATGTCTGTGTTACATATTCATTTATAATGTTTATATTTATAATTTATTTTATTATTGTGAGCAGTAAATTGTCACCTACCAGAAAAAAATTATAAGAAGAATGTATTAAAAGACAATGTGAAAACAATATGACAATGTCAAATGTGTTGCTCGTACATACAGAGAATTATCAGGTGAATCTGCAACTTCCTGCTGCTTTATGGAGCTTTATAGCGAGTTTCAGCTCATTGTTTAGCTTTCAAACCCACAACTTTACTGTTTTGGTTCACTCTGACTACTCTCATGGTTTCATTTTTAGCCACAGCAGGCAGCTGTGAAATCTCAAAACACCCACTGTGCACTACCTGTTCAGCACCAAACTGTAAGCACAGTATCAATATGGTGAACATAGCGGAGCATTTAGCAGCTAAAGAGCCATGATGCTCTATTCTATTCTGCTGTCCCCCCGTTGCCAAAAAATGTTGTGGCCAAAAAAGTATACATTTTTGCACATAAATCTTTTCCCTCCAACTTGTGCTGGAAGGTAATGTCCAACACAATCTATTGTTCAATGAATATAACATATCTCTGTTTTGTCTGCTGTGTCGATAGAAAATTATACATCCCACCAAGCTGTGAATAAACAAAAGGATGTTCTTGTTTATTATCGACCTTGGCTCGCTGTTACTGCCTGCATGTTGATTCCATATCAGCATTTGGGCAAAGCTTTCATTTCCATTCATTATGTACGACCATTTATCCTTTGTGGGGTCATGGAAGGACAGAGACAATCCCATCTCACTTTGGGTGAAAGGCGGGGTTCACCTTGGACAGGTGGCCATAAGAGCAATTTAGAGTCACTACTTAACTTTAGGAACTAAGGAAACATAATTTGTTCAAATTCATCCAAGGAACAAACTTTCTGAAGACACAACACAATGCAAATAACATTTCTCATATTCTTACTCCATACTAAGAAAAAAGAAATCTATCCAGCCTATCATTATACTCATGAAGAAGGCACACCAACAACATTTTGGCAAGAATGTGTGTATTTACAGCTGCAAAAAGAAATATAAATACAGTGCAGCAAAGAGAACATTGTGCCTAAAAAAAACTCATCTCAAAATCCTCGGCATGCTGTTGCTCGTAAGTAACAACACAAACGCTATGAACTGAAGGTTGACATGTGACAGTAAGAGCAAAGAGGAGTGAAAAAATCTATCCAGCTCCTGACCAGGAAATGCCAAGTAAGACATGCTCGAATACTTCCTCTGTGGTCTCTTATTTCAGCAGTCGGTGGAAAATGAAGCCGGGTCTGCAAGGGGAGAGAGCAGCAGCAGCATCTGCCTACGGAGGAGCCAAATGTAAACATATGTACAGTTCATGGTCTGCTGTCAGAAATGAAGATTTTCTAAGGAAATTTCTGTATTATTAATTGCTTCACACCACTGAAATTGACATGTTGATTACTTTATAAAGACCTGATTAATAATGATATTTAAATGATAATGTATTCTATCTAGAACCTAAAATCCATTATTGTGTCAAGAGCACTACCTTACCTCTGATTTAGAGCTGAAACTGTTCATTGGTTAATCGATTAACAGAAAGTATAACATTAATTGTCATTTATCTAGGAACATTTCCAAACATTTTTTAGCTCCAGCCTCTCAAATTCAAATATTTGCTGCCTTTCTGAGGTTTCATATCACTGTAAATTGAATATTTTGGGGTTTTGGACTGTTGGTCTGACAAAAGAAGCATTTTGACATCACCTTGGGCTCTAGGAACTTAAACTGCCTATTTTACTATTTCCTGGTGTTTTAAGGGCTGCATGCAGTGCTAATAAGCTCCACCAATCAAATAGTTGGGGCAGCAAGCTCCAAACAAATGTTTGTAGCATGAAAGGCAAAACCCAGAGCAGAAAAAGTCCTCAGGACAATTGAAAGCAATGCACATTCTGTATTTTTGGCCATGACAACAGCGTGGCTCTATGGATTGTAATGTTGGTCGATCAGTCGGTCCACCACTTTGGTCCAGACAGCTGTACTTTCTGTTTAGCTCTAATTGAACATCCCAATGAACTGAGTGTATTCTTCAGGCTGTGATGCTTAAAAACAGAGATTAGCTTTTCTAGGTCAAGAGAGGTCAAGTGATGTGGTGGCTACCAGGTTGCTCCATGTGATGCGAGTGTTTATAGACCTGGGATCATTATGAGAACTGCAGTGCTCTGTGGACTCTGTGGAATTTATATCAGTATGAGGTTCATCCAGCTTCTCCTGACTCTGTGCTGAAAAGCTCTCTGAAGCAGAGGCATCCAGCGGTGTCGCTGACACAGCACAAAAAAAAGGCAAATATAACCTGTCCTTAAGCGCACCAGTGCACTAAATTCCACACTTTGGTAACAGCAACTTTGAAAGTGGATATTTACTATATGTAATTTCAGAGAGACCTCTTTCTGTTCTGCAAACTAGCATTTGGAGTGACCTGCTCAGTGCAGCGCACACACCACAGCAAGAAACAAATGAAGAGATAGCCAGTGAAATCACTTCATTGCTGGAAATATGTGTATTATAAAGAAATGTGTTGTGCATGAATATGCTGGCAGACAAGGGTGTAGGTTTGGTTTCAGAGGTGGAGAGGACACAATGAAAAAAATTAATTAATTGAGTCCAGACATACTCATACTGCCAGAGTTGGAGAAGTACTCAAGGCCTCCTAGGCACTGCCAAGCCCCTGAACACCTTGAGCAAGCCCCTGAACCCCCAATTGTTCGGGGCGCCGCACTGAGTGCCAGCCCCCTACATTACCTGTGTGCATGGACGTATATATGCATATACATATATATGAACAGTGAAGTAAAAAAACAACATTAAAATTAAACAAGCAAACAAGAAATTATGCTATAATTTGTGTTTTCCATAATTATTGCATGGAAACCTGTATTGTAACCCTACCTAAAATAAATTTTAGTTTCCTTTATAGATATCTTGTACTTTTTGATGTTTACTACAAAGAGAACTGTTTACTGTTTTATTTTTTACTAATAATATGATAATATGAACTGCAAATTAAAATATAGATTTATTTTTATTTTTACCTGAAAAACATATTAAGCTGAACCTTTTTTTCAGCCCTGAGTTGAGTCTGCAGGTATTAATTTCAGGCTGAACAGCCTCCAACAAAAAGGTATATACCATCGTTATTAAATTGTTGTGATGCATATAAACATGGTGGTCTTTTTCCATCATCCATTGTAATACAGCTTATAATCACCAACATTCATCTGCATGGAAATGATTCAAAGAGGAGAAAAATTATAATAATTTAGCCATTGGGGAGAGCACTTTTATTGGAGCCGATTATGAGGTTGCTATTGGTGGCTAATTGGTTTTCATACAAAAGCTAGTCTGTTTAAAAGGATAAACAGCCCTATTAAAATCATTATGGATATTGTTGTTCTTATTAGTAGTCTAAGTAAATGTAGTACTAGCAGTGTTGTAGAAGAAGTAGCAGCAGTAGGAGTACTAGTTGTAGTAATAGTAGTAGGGGAAGCAGCAGTAGTAGTAGTAGTCGTATTAAAAGAAGCTGTAGTAGTAGTAATAATAGCAGTCAAATGGAAGCAGTTGTAATAGTGATATTATTGCAATATTGATAACAGTAGTAGTTTTAGTAGCAGAAAAGAAGAAGTTGTAATGATAGTAGTAGTAGTAGTAGTAGTAGTTTACTAGTAATAAACAAAAAGTGGTTGAGGTACTTGTAGTAAGAGATACTTGTAGAAAAATAAGTAGTAGTGGCAGTATTAGCAGTGCGCGGGTGTGTGTGTGTGTGTGTGTGTGTGCGTGTGCGTGTGTGCGTGTGTGCATGCGTGCTTGTAGGAATATGTCCTGTATCACAGTGTGTGTTTGAATGAGCACATGTTTAGACAGACATGCTGTAGCTGATGCAAATACAAATCAGATCAGGAAATAAATCAAATTGTTGGCTGAGATGTCGGGCTTCCACTGATGGAGCTCTTAATTTAGTGACTTCTGTTCCGTGCCAGCAGAGTACTGGAAGACCAGATGATACTGGAATACTGGACTGGGACCAGGCCTGTACAGAATTCCTTCAAACATTCATGAATAGAACAATTTTGCTAGCGTTTTCCATCCCCAGTGGATGGAAAACTGCACCCCATCCCCC